TATGAAATAATAATTATTAAATTAATTTATTATTAATATTTAATTCTACTATAAAATAATTAACCCACCCCCACCTCCACCACCCCTACAACTTCGGGGCTATTCCGGCGACTTTTTCGACGGCTGATCCGATTCATGCGAATATGTTAAGGTCACAGATCTATACAATTTGGTTGCAATTCAAAATTTATAAATCACAATACTTATTTAGGTCACAATTTATTAATTTATTGGTCACAATTAATAATTTTTAGGTCACAATTGATAATTTTTTGGTCACATAGTCAAAATTTTAAGTCACTGTTAAATACTTGGTCACAGATAACTAAATATTTGGTCACATACCACTGACACTACTTCAGCCACCACCACCACCACACAAAACACCGCCACCACCCACAGCCACCAAACAAAGCACGGCCACCACCCCAACCGTCGATCCACCATCACAAACGCCACCACATAAAACGCCTCAGACACAAATCAGATCCACCACCACCTCTGCACTATCGCCACAGCCTCCAGGACAAGCATTTGGTCACAGATTACCAAGCATATGGTCACAGACCTCTGCCATCGTCACATCCACTACCACAACACCACGAGTACATCACCACGTCACCACCACCAACCAGATCTGAACCTACCAAATATTGGTCACATACACCAAACACCCAACCTCAACCCCGATCCACCAACAACACCATCACAACACCACAACCGTACACAAAAACACAGTCAAACCCACCCACCGCCAGAGCCACTACACACTGGCAGTCTAATTGACTTGTTATTGAGAGGAGTGAAGTTTAAAACTTCCATAGCCATTGCCACGTTCTGGGGGCTGTTATAGTTCACATAACCATAGCCAAGGCTGCGCCGTGTGCTGAGGTCACGACAAACCCGAACAGAAACAACCTGACCGACCTGGTTAAACAGATCGTAGAGCTCCGAATCCGTCACAGTGAAATCCAAGTCTCCCACGTACAGTGAAGTCGTCAAAAACTGGCTGGCCCCTCCACCCAAAGCGGCCGCAACCAGCGTCACCACCACTCCATTAGGCCCAGCAGCTGCATTCTGGTGCTGCACCTGATTTTGTGCCATTCCTTTTAAACAGGAAACTGACCCTAAACCCTTAGATTTCTGCACCCTGAACACTGCTGGCAAGGTGGTGCAGCGCCGATTTCAAAGCCAAATTTCAAAGCGTCGCCGCTACAGTAGCGACGTCGTGAACGCTGCCGATTTTGGAGCAGCGCCGATTTTGGATA